GGATGGCCCCCGGGTGTGAGGATGGCCCCGGGTGTGAGGATGGCCCCCGGGTGTGAGGATGGCCCCCGGGTGTGAGGATGGCCCCCGGGTGTGAGGATGGCCCCCGGGTGTGAGGATGGCCCCGGGTGTGAGGATGGCCCCATGCGTGCGGCGTGTTGACTCAGCGACTGACGGCCTGTGTCTGACAGGATCAAGCAGCTCCTGGATCGGACTAAAAGCACGTCGGACCAAAATAAATTATAAATCTACTTTGTTGGGTTAGTTAACGACCAGAAGGAGTTTTTATAGATCTCTGTTTTCTCTTCTGTTGATGAAGTTGCTCAGTTTGACTGAGAAAGCCTCATGTTAGAGGAGGAGCTTTAAAAGAAATCAAGCAGGCAGGGAGGCTCAGCAGAGATCTCATCTTACAGGCATTTCCTCCTCAGCCGCTTCCTGTTTAGGAGCGGTGGTCTGGAAGCCCTGCAGAGGCCCAGCCTGCTCTAAGGACTGGAATGGGGCCATGGGGTGCTTATCAGGGTGCTTTGATTGCTGGGGGCTGGTTCATTGACCCTGTCTGTGACCTCGTGCATCAGGCTGTTTTACAGCTGAGGGTTCATCACTCTCATCATCTGCTGCAATCTTCTGCTCTGAGTCTGCAGCTGTGAGCATGGCGTTCAAGCAATGAGGAAAAGAAGCAGATAGATTTACTGAGCTGCACAACATGACGCTCATTTATAGACAAAGCTGGTAAAAAAAGGTTTGGATGAAGCTAATTATTTAGATGGTTTTTTTTGTTGTTGTTGTTGTTTAAATACCAACAGATGATAATGAAAATGAGATTAAATTAAACTAAACTATAAAGTATATTTTTAAAATGTAAGGAGGAGAAATTAGAAGATAAACAATAATAATTCATCCAGTAAAGTATAGATAGTCACCATTTCTACTGAAGGTAACCTAGTATCTGTTCTTTGTTCCTTGATGCCTTTGGGTGCTGATGCTGAATGCGGGAAGGATCTCCTGTAGAGGTCTGTCTGCAGCGGATCTATAGAAGCCTCTGACTGAAGAACCTCTGTTTGTGTCTAACAGTCTGATGAAGAGGATGCTCACTGCTGTCCATCATCATCTTCATCTCCAGAGGTTCTAGAGGAGTTCCTAGAACAGAGCCGACCTTCTTTATCAGCTGCTTGAGCTTCTTTCAGTCATTAGCTCTGATGATGAGGATGAGGATGACGATGATGATGATGGTGATGATGATGATGATGGTGATAATGATCATGATGGTGATGATGATGATGATGATGGTGATAGTGGTGATGATGATGATGGTGATGATGATGATGATGATAGTGGTGATGATGATGGTGATGATGATGATGATGGTGATAGTGGTGATGATGATGATGATGATGATGATGGTGATGATGATGATGATGATGGTGATAGTGGTGATGATGATGATGATGATGATGGTGATAGTGGTGATGATGATGATGATGATGGTGATAGTGGTGATGATGATGATGATGATGATGATGGTGGTGGTGATGATGGTGATGATGATGATGGTGATGATGGTGATGATGATGATGGTGATGGTGGTGGTGATGATGGTGATGATGATGATGATGGTGATGATGATGATGGTGATGATGGTGATGATGGTGATGATGATGATGGTGATGATGATGGTGATGATGATGATCGTGATGATGATGATGATGATGATGGTGGTGGTGGTGATGATGATGATGATGATGATGATGGTGGTGGTGGTGATGATGGTGATGATGATGATGATGATGATGGTGGTGGTGATGATGATGGTGATGATGATGGTGGTGGTGATGATGATGGTGATGATGATGATGGTGATAGTGGTAATGATGATGATGGTGATGATGATGATGGTGAAGGTGATGATGATGATGGTGATGATGATGATGATGATGGTGATGATGATAGTGATGATGACGGTGGTGATGATGGTGATGATGATGGTGATGATGATGATGATGATGGTGATGATGATAGTGATGATGACGGTGGTGATGATGGTGATGATGATGGTGATGATGATGATGATGATGATGACGGTGGTGATGATGGTGATGATGATGGTGATGATGATGATGATGGTGATGATGATAGTGGTGATGACGGTGGTGATGATGGTGATGATGATGGTGATGATGATGATGATGATGGTGATGATGATAGTGATGATGACGGTGGTGATGATGGTGATGATGATGATGGTGATGATGATAGTGATGATGACGGTGGTGATGATGGTGATGATGATGGTGATGATGATAGTGATGATGATGGTGATGATGATGATGATGATGGTGATGATGATAGTGATGATGACGGTGGTGATGATGGTGATGATGATGGTGATGATGATGATGATGATGATGACGGTGGTGATGATGGTGATGATGATGGTGATGATGATGATGATGATGATGGTGATGATGATAGTGATGATGACGGTGGTGATGATGGTGATGATGGTGATGATGATGATGATGATGATGATGATGGTGATGATGACGGTGGTGATGACGGTGGTGATGATGGTGATGATGATGATGATGATGGTGATGATGATAGTGATGATGACGGTGGTGATGATGGTGATGATGATGATGATGATGATGGTGATGATGATAGTGATGATGACGGTGGTGATGATGGTGGTGATGATGGTGATGATGGTGATGATGATGATGATGATGATGATGATGATGATGATGGTGATGATGACGGTGGTGATGACGGTGGTGATGATGGTGATGATGATGATGATGATGGTGATGATGATAGTGATGATGACGGTGGTGATGATGGTGATGATGATGGTGATGATGATGGTGATGATGATAGTGATGATGACGGTGGTGATGATGATGATGATGATGATGATAGTGATGATGACGGTGGTGATGATGATGATGATGATGGAGGCAGAGATCAGACTGATAGAAGATCCTCCGCCTCTGAAGGACCTCAGCTTCCTCTAGAAGTCCAGTCTGCTCTGTCCCTTCTTGCAGACGGCTTCAGGTGTGTATCCAGTCCAGGTTGTTGTCCAGGTGAACACCAAGGGATTCCTCCTCCTCTTCTTCTCCCAGGATGTTAACAGGATTCAACTTGTTCCTGTTTCTTCTGAAATCTCCAATCATCTCCTTGTTTTGTTGACCTTCAGGATCAGATGATTGTTTCCACTCCATGCCACAAAGCGCTTCACCAGCTCTCTGTCCTCAGCTTCTGCTCCATCTTTGATGCTCCCAATGACTGCAGAGACATCCCAGGTCTTCTGCAGAGGACAGGACTCTGTCTGGTCCTGGAGGTCAGAGGTGAACAGAGGAAAGAGGAAAGGCTGGTTAAAGAACACATCGTGGAGAAGACCAAGGAGATCATGGTGGACTTCAGGAAGAACCGTCCTAACCACGCTCCACTGCTCATCAACAGCTCAGCTGTAGAGGTGGTCAGCAGCACCACATTCATCACAGACACCCTCACCTGGACTGGAAACACCACCTCACTGGTCCAAAGGGCCCAGAAGCGCTTGGACTTCTTGCGGAGGATGAGGAGAGCCAATCCCCCCCCCACCGCCCCCACCCACCTGCATCACATGACATCATATTTGCACTCGATGGCTGATTTTCAGATCCTTTTGAATAGAACTCTACTCAGTCTTCTACAGCATGTTGCACCATATTTCTCTGATCACTGCTAAATGGAAATGTCTGCAGCATCAACCTGGAATCTGATATGAGACTAGAAGCTCCCTTTGCTTTAATTGGAAACACCTGAACACCGTGCTGTGGTGTCATCTGGTCCAGAGGTCCACTATGACCAATCCACTAAGAAGTTTTCAGGTGGAAATTGTTTTGAGAGTTTATTTGTTTTTAGATGGATCCAAAGTTCTGAAGGATCATGTTTAAAAAGCTGCGGAGCGCTACGGAAGGCTATCAACACGACAACAAGGGAAAATAACGGACAGAGGAAGAGATGCGCAAGATGCAGAGCAGGGCTAACAGTGAAGATAAAGAGAAATCCTCACAGACCTTTGCTTCCATCAATCCTGCTCTCCAACCTTCGCTCGTTGGAAAAATGGATAATCTCAGACTGGAACTCTCATCAAGGAAGGAGATCAGTAACTGCTGCTCCATCATTCTGGCTGCATCCAGCAATACCGACGATGCTATTAGCCTGGAGGGGCTAACGCTATACCGCGCCGATAGAACAGAGAGCTCTGAGTGAATGGAAACTCCTCTGAGACTGTTGCCAGGCAATCTTCAGCATCTAGAGGGGAAGCTCTGCCCTCTACAGGTGAAAATGAGGAAAGCACTCTAAATGCTTCCCGCCAAATACTGAAACATTGCCAGCTGGCTCCTCCCGGCCCCCTCTGGCTCCCATGCCTTCTCCAGCTTCGTCTGTCGCTGCTAAACCTGCCGATGGCTCCACTGCTGCTTCAACCACGTCAGCCTGTTCAACCCAGGGGGGCTACCACCCTCACAGCATCGTCATCATCCTCCTCTTCCTCCCCTGAGCCAGGAGAAGCGAGCGCTGCAGGAGCTGGAGGCAGTATCAGCTCAACAACAACTGTTGGATGAAGCCTAGGGAACAGGCCCCTAATGCTCCAGCATCAGATCCTCTTCCTGCAGGGCAAACATCCCATCTGGATGCTAAGATCCTATTCAGATCCGTCTGACATCACTGCTGCCAAGCAAACATGAATGAAGCTCATTCCATGACTAGATATAGTGACTAAATATCACAATGTTTTTGTTTTTTTAATCACTGCTGCTTCTGAACGAAATGTCTTTTTGTTTCCTCTTGTGCATAAAAAATGACAAAATAAAGCTGTTTAAGTCTATGTTTACATTCTGAAAGTAAAGCAACGCTGGTTATGGGCCCGTTAACGCTGAGTTCACAGAAGGATGTTCCCTCAAAGCTCAGAGATGATTTGATTTTGTGACGCCATCCTACCAGCCTGCTCTGTCTTACAGGGAGCTGCTGACATCCAGGAAAAAGTCGTTGGAGCTGCAGTGCAGGGGGTCCATCATGGCCGCTCACAGGATCAGGACCGCCACCAACACCACCTCCCTGCCTCGCTGCAAATCAGAGGGCACCCTGATCGATCTCAGTGAGGGGGTCTCAGAGGCCAGTCTGACTGATGTCAAAGGTTAGCATTCACCACCTAGAAGCTGCTGCTTCATGGTGGACACTAAACCACAGAGCAGAACAGGTCATAGCATCAAACACGTGAAATCAAACAGTTCTGGTCTGAAAAGGTGATCTAGGTGATTAGTAATTCCTGGTAATATATGTCATAGTGCCACTAGAAGGTAATATATTTCTCTCAGGGCGGGGGGGTGTTGGATGTGGGAAGTCGGGGGGTAGGGGTTCCCTTATAGAGCTCAGTCCAGCCTTCAGAACTACATCCGGCTGAATGTCGGACCTTCTCTGAAGACCTCAGGGGTTTGTTAAAGAACCACCGGAGGCTTTGGGTTCAGTAATAAACCCAAATCCGCCGCTTTGACCATCATGTTCCATGAAACCAAAGATACGATAAGGACTTTCAGCTGTAGCTGTGCAAAGTATTCAGTCAAGGTGCTAAATGTCAGAACGGTCTCACCATGGACCTTGGCTTCTCTGCATTATCCCAAAATGCACTGAAATCTGTGACAAAGTATAATAGAAGAAGTTTTTGCTCTAAAATCTGTAGATTATTTTTTTTCTGAGTACTTTTACTCCAAGCAGCTTTAGAAAGATTACCAACAAATCTTCTCTGCTGTCTGTTTCAGTGCCTTCTCCGAGTGCCTTACGGTTGGATACAACCGCTTCCTTTGGCGCCGCCAGGGAAGTTGTCGCCATAAAGGACTACTGCCCGTCCAGCTTCACCACTCTGAAGTTCTCTAAAGGAGACCGGCTTTACGTGCTTGACTCGTCGGGGGGGGAGTGGTGGTATGCCCACAACAGCAGAGAGATGGGTTACATCCCAGCGGCATACGTTGAACCCATCAGCTACAGAGACTCGTCCTTTAGTGACAGTGGAATGATCGACACGCTGGGAGACTCTAACGAGGACGGGGCCAAAGAATTGGACTTGTTAGGAGAGTGGACAGGAGTGATTTTAAAACCAACCACTTTTCAAAATGGAAATCCTTTTGCTGTGACCAATTCCTCCACAAACCCTTTTCTAAACAGCCCGCTAGATCAGATTAGCAAACAGAATTCAGTTGACCTCCTTCTGTTTGATACGCTCACTTCCTCTGGTCCCACTTCCAACAGAAACCCTGGAGACAATGGTTTTAGTGGCAGTGCTTTCAATGTGAACCCTCTGAGTCCCTCTGGCCAAACCTTCCAAAGAGACAACCCTTTTTTTAGAAGTAAGCGTTCCTACAGCCTGTCTGAACTGTCCATCCTTCAGGCTCAGACCGACCCTCCTCAAGCTTCCAGCGGTTTCTTCGGAGGACTTAAAGCACCAGCACCAGAGCAGTTCCAGAGCAGGGAGGACTTCCGCACAGCTTGGCTCACCCATCGCAAGTTGGCTAGGTCCTGTCATGACCTGGATTCGCTGGGTCAGAACCCAGGATGGGGTCAAACTCAGCCAGTGGAGACCAACATTGTCTGTCGTTTGGATAGTTCAGGTGGTGCGGTGCAGCTTCCAGACACCAACATTAGCATCTTTGTACCTGAGGGCCATGTAGCACCAGGGGACACGCAGCAAATCTCCATCAAAGCTCTTCTGGACCCTCCACTGGAGCTCAACAGCGACCGCTGCACCACTGTCAGCCCAGTGGTGGAGATCAAACTCAGCAACATGGAGACCAAAACCACAATCACCCTGGAGATGAAAGTGTCAGTTGTTGTGAAAATGGAGAGCAGACAGACGACGGAAGTCTTATGTGTGAGAAGTGATTGTAAGGAGGGGCCATACACCCCTATCCCACAGGCATACATGTACGGGGACACGGTCCAAGTGGGCCTGGATAGCCTGGAGCCATGCATGTACGTCTGTGTTGTGGCCCAGGCCCAGTCGTTACTTCCTGAATCCACGGTTTGGGAGAATGTGGTCAAAAAGATGACATTAGGAGTTTATGGTCCAAAACACATCCACCCATCCTTCAAAACTGTGGTTGCCATGTTTGGCCATGAATGTGCTCCAAAGACCCTCCTGGTGAGCCAGGTGGGTAAACAGGCACAGGTTGCACCACCAGTTACTCTACAGCTTTGGGGAAAACATCAGTTTGTTTTGTCAAAACCTCAAGACCTCCATCTTGGTGTTTACTCAAACATGGCAAACTACGAAGTAAAGGCCAGCGAGCAGGCAACGGCGGTCCGGGGTTTCCAGATTAAATTAGGCAAAGTCAGCAGGCTGGTCTATATGATCTCCACACGCAACATTGACGAAGTTTCAGACTTCACCCTAAGAATCCAGGTCAAAGATGACCAAGAATGTATCTTGGCTCAGTTCTGTGTCCAAACACCAACACCGCCCCCTAAAGCAGGTCCAAAGGCATCAGCACAGCGGAGATTCCTCAAGAAGAAGGAGGTGGGGAAAATAGTTCTGTCTCCTCTTGCTGTTGCCACCAAATACCCCGTTTTTCAGGACAGGAAGATAAACAACCTGAAGTTTGGGAAGTTAATCAAGACAGTGATCAGGCAAAATAAAAACCAGTACTTGCTGGAGTACAAGAAAGGAGACTTTGTAGCTCTGCTGAGTGAGGAGAAGATCAAGCTGAAGGGCCAGTTGTGGACAAAGGAGTGGTACATTGGGTACTATCAGGGCAAAATGGGGCTGGTTCATGCTAAGAATGTTCTAGTGGTCGGCAAAGTAAAGCCCATTTACTTCAGTGGGCCTGACCTCACCACCTCCTCCTTACTGGAGCAAATTCTGAAGCCCTGCAAGTTCCTCACATACATCTATGCGTCAGTTAGAACAATCCTGATGGAGAACATCGGGAACTGGCGAGTGTTTGCCGACGCTCTTGGATACGTCAACCTACCGCTGACACATTTCTGCCGCACAGAGCCGGACAGCAAGCCAGAGAGGGTGGCTTCGGTCCTGGAGAGGCTAAAGGAAGACTGCAACAATGCAGAGAGCAAAGAGAGGAAGTCCTTCCAGAAAGAACTTCTGACTGTAAGTTTGGCAAAAGCCCAACATAAAACCCTTGGAATCAAAAGCTCTTGTTTTTAGCATTGCCTCTGGTCGGTCCAGTTCAGTAGCTACATGTCTGGTAGATTTCTCTTTTCTTTGCTTGGGTTTGTAATTCCCCCGCAGCTGTTTAAAGCCAGGAGCTCCAGGCTGGGGTCCAGCTCAGCTAATTCTGCTGGGAGAGCAGTCGATAACTGCTGTGTAGGCAGAGAGACCTAGCAGAACCTGAGCAGCTGGAAGACAGCAGAGCATAAAATGCTGATCTGATAAATCCTGTTGATCTTTATAGACCAACAAATCAGCCGTGATGAAGGAAGGCCAGAGGAAGCGCTGGAGAACACAGCCTGATGCTCTGGATTTCTAAAACCCAGTATAGGCGGCGATCTGCAGCCTTTGATGCATCCAGCTTTTAGCTTTTTAAACCAAACAGTTTTAGAAACCCTTTATTCTTGTTCTATAGCTAATTTTTTTCTCAGGTGGAGAGTTTTATTCCTCCTAAACATTAAAACCTGCTGTTTTATATTCACTCAGTTTAACCCTGTTTAAATTAATTTAATGATCTAAAATGTGGAAAATAAAAATGAGTAAATAAGTCAATAAAGAGGCTAATCTGTCCTGTTTTTAAGTAGTTCCTCCTTTAAAACATTTAAAGTGATGTTAAACTGTTTGTCGCATCGTTTCCTCGTCAGCATTTAATCCTCCTGACAGGTCAGATCCAGAGCTGAAGTCACACACAGCGAACAGGAAGGCTGTAATTTACCAAGGTTGTAAACACTAGTTAGACCCATTTATAGACGGGAGCGGTGGAGCTGAGGAGCACAGATAGAAATATAGAAATAGACTGTGAGGCTAAACATCTACAGAAGGCAGCAGCTGGACTGTTGGACCCCAGAAAGGCTCCTAGTTCCTTCTGATGAATATTCTTTACCAGTAAAGGTTCTGGTTTCATTTAGGGCTGCTTGATTCTAGAAAAAACATAAATGAAATGATAAAGTATAATATTTGAATTTAATTATTCAAGTATTGCTCAGCCATGTTTTCTTTTGTTTGCTGCAGCTGAACTGGTAAATAAACCAGTGAACTGCTGCATTTACTCACAGAAACTATCAAACATAAACATGCAGTGCAGCAATAAATATAATGCAACAGAGCATTAGACAGGAGTTGGAAATGGAAAACAGGGAATTATCCACCGTTAGTCTGAAGCTTTGATTTCCTTTGAAAAGGAACGACAGACTTCCTGATCTTTTCCTGTCTGATGGTGTAGAGCAGCGTTAGATCATCACGCTGCTGAAGGTCTGGTATCTGGGCAGCATCATTCTGTGGGCTAAAACAGTGAAGGTTCTAAAGAGAATATGAAGGATAAGCATTGAAGCTAAACCAGGGTTAGTCAGCGTGTTTCCATAGTAACGGAGGTGCAGCTGTCAGTCACCGCTCTTCACTTTGATGCCCTCATTATAACCAATCATGTTGTGCACCTCCTCCTTTGTTCTGGAAAAGGAAAACATAGGAGGGGTGTGAATACTATTAGGTACTGTATCTATAGCTGGTAGGTAAAACTAACCCATATGATGAAATCCATGAATCTGTAACGACTCAGTGGTCTCCATGATCAGGTCTGTCTGAATACAGGAAAGGAAGTAGGAAGGCGCTCATAGCTGCCTATAGAAGCTCAACTGTTTCCCTCAATCCTTTAGCCTAAGGATGTATAGGCCTAGCCTAGCCCACCTGAAAGTCTAACAACAATCCTTTATTTTAGATGCTAATGTTTGCACCTTTCAATCGTTTGGGTTTCATAACTGAGAGCTTCATTAGTCCTACTTTAACCAAAGAGTTTCCATCCCATGATGATATCCATGAGGCTGAGGCTGTCTGGATTCAGAAGGAGCTAGGAAAGAGAGCTAGGAAATGGATCTAAGAGCAGGAGCTAGGAGCTAGGAAAGGAGCCAGGAAAGAGAGCTAGGAAATGGATCTAAGAGCAGGAGCTAGGAGCTAGGAAAGGAGCCAGGAAAGAGAGCTAGGAAATGGATCTAAGAGCAGGAGCTAGGAAAGGAGCCAAGAAAGGAGCTAGGAAAGAGAGCTAGGAAATGGATCTAAGAGCAGGAGCTAGGAAAGGGAGCTAGGAGCAGGGGCTAGGAAAGGGAGCTAAGAGCAGGAGCTAGGAAAGGGTGCTAAGAGCAGGAGTTAGGAAAGGGGGCTATGAGCAGGAGCTAGGAAAGGGAGCTAGGAGCTAGGAAATGGAGCTAGGAAAGGGAGGTAGGAGCAGGAGCAGTAGCTAGGAAAGGGAGCTAGGAGCTAGGAGCTAGTAAAGGGAGCTAGGTGCAGGAGCTAGGAGCTAGTAAAGGGAGCTAGGAGCAGGAGCTAGGAAAGGGAGCTAGGAGCAGGAGCTAGTAAAGGGAGCTAGGAGCAGGAGCTAGGAGCTAGGAAAGGGAGCTAAGAGCAGGAGCTAGGAATGGGAGCTAGGAAAGGGAGCTAAGAGCAGGAGCTAGGAATGGGAGCTAGGAAAGGGAGCTAAGAGCAGGAGCTAGGAAAGGGAGCTAGCTAGGAGCAGGAGCTAGTAAAGGGAGCTGAGAGCAGGAGCTAGGAAAGGGGGCTAGGAGCAGGAGCTAGGAGCTAGGAAAGGGAGCTAAGAGCGGGAGCTAGGCGCTAGGAAAGGGAGCAAGGAGTGGGAGCTAGGAGCTAGGAAAGGGGGCTAGGAACAGGAGCTAGGAAAGGGAGCTAGGAGCTAGGAAAGGGAGCTAAGAGCAGGAGCTAGTAAAGGGAGCTAGGAGCAGGAGCTAGGAGTTAGTAAAGGGAGCTAGGAGCAGGAGCTAGTAAAGGGAGCTAGGAGCAGGAGCTAGGAAAGGGTGCTAAGAGCAGGAGCTAGGAGCTAGGAAAGGGAGCTAGGAGCAGGAGCAAAGAGCTAGTAAAGGGAGCTAGGAGCTAGTAAAGTGAGCTAGGAGCAGGAGCTAGTAAAGGGAGCTAGGAGCAGGAGCTAGTAAAGGGAGCTAGGAGCAGGAGCTAGGAGCTAGGAAAGGGAGCTAAGAGCGGGAGCTAGGCGCTAGGAAAGGGAGCTAGGAGCAGGAGCTAGTAAAGGGAGCTAGGAGCAGGAGCTAGTAAAGGGTGCTAAGAGCAGGAGCTAGGAGCTAGTAAAGGGAGCTAGGTGCAGGAGCTAGGAGCTAGTAAAGGGAGCTAGGAGCAGGAGCTAGGAAAGGGAGCTAGGAGCAGGAGCTAGTAAAGGGAGCTAGGAGCAGGAGCTAGGAGCTAGGAAAGGGAGCTAAGAGCAGGAGCTAGGAATGGGAGCTAGGAAAGGGAGCTAAGAGCAGGAGCTAGGAATGGGAGCTAGGAAAGGGAGCTAAGAGCAGGAGCTAGGAAAGGGAGCTAGCTAGGAGCAGGAGCTAGTAAAGGGAGCTGAGAGCAGGAGCTAGGAAAGGGGGCTAGGAGCAGGAGCTAGGAGCTAGGAAAGGGAGCTAAGAGCGGGAGCTAGGCGCTAGGAAAGGGAGCAAGGAGTGGGAGCTAGGAGCTAGGAAAGGGGGCTAGGAACAGGAGCTAGGAAAGGGAGCTAGGAGCTAGGAAAGGGAGCTAAGAGCAGGAGCTAGTAAAGGGAGCTAGGAGCAGGAGCTAGGAGTTAGTAAAGGGAGCTAGGAGCAGGAGCTAGTAAAGGGAGCTAGGAGCAGGAGCTAGGAAAGGGTGCTAAGAGCAGGAGCTAGGAGCTAGGAAAGGGAGCTAGGAGCAGGAGCAAAGAGCTAGTAAAGGGAGCTAGGAGCTAGTAAAGTGAGCTAGGAGCAGGAGCTAGTAAAGGGAGCTAGGAGCAGGAGCTAGGAGTTAGTAAAGGGAGCTAGGAGCAGGAGCTAGTAAAGGGAGCTAGGAGCAGGAGCTAGGAAAGGGTGCTAAGAGCAGGAGCTAGGAGCTAGGAAAGGGAGCTAGGAGCAGGAGCAAGGAGCTAGTAAAGGGAGCTAGGAGCTAGTAAAGTGAGCTAGGAGCAGGAGCTAGTAAAGGGAGCTAGGAGCAGGAGCTAGGAAAGGGTGCTAAGAGCAGGAGCTAGGAGCTAGTAAAGGGAGCTAGGTGCAGGAGCTAGGAGCTAGTAAAGGGAGCTAGGAGCAGGAGCTAGTAAAGGGACCTAGGAGCAGGAGCTAGTAAAGGGAGCTAGGAGCTAGTAAAGTGAGCTAAGAGCAGGAGCTAGTAAAGGGAGCTAGGAGCAGGAGCTAGTAAAGGGAGCTAGGAGCAGGAGCTAGTAAAGGGAGCTAGGAGCAGGAGCTAGGAGCTAGTAAAGTGAGGTAGGAGCAGGAGCTAGGAGTTAGTAAAGGGAGCTAGGAGCAGGAGTTAGGAGCTAGGAAAGGGTGCTAAGAGCAGGAGCTAGGAGCTGGGAAAGGGAGCTAGGAGCAGGAGCTAGGAGCTAGTAAAGGGAGCTAGGAGCTAGTAAAGTGAGCTAGGAGCAGGAGCTAGTAAAGGGAGCTAGGAGCAGGAGCTAGGAGCTAGGAAAGGGTGCTAAGAGCAGGAGCTAGGAGCTGGGAAAGGGAGCTAGGAGCAGGAGCTAGGAGCTAGTAAAGGGAGCTAGGAGCTAGGAGCTAGTAAAGGGAGCTAGGAGCTAGGAGCTAGTAAAGGGAGCTAGGAGCAGGAGCTAGGAGCTGGGAAAGGGAGCTAGGAACAGGAGCTAGGAGCTAGGAAAGGGTGCTAAGAGCAGGAGCTAGGAGCTAGTAAAGGGAGCTAGGAGCTAGTAAAGTGAGCTAGGAGCAGGAGCTAGTAAAGGGAGCTAGGAGCAGGAGCTAGGAGCTAGGAAAGGGTGCTAAGAGCAGGAGCTAGTAAAGGGAGCTAGGTGCAGGAGCTAGGAGCTAGTAAAGGGAGCTAGGAGCAGGAGCTAGTAAAGGGAGCTAGGAGCTAGTAAAGTGAGCTAAGAGCAGGAGCTAGTAAAGGGAGCTAGGAGCAGGAGCTAGGAGCTAGTAAAGGGAGCTAGGAGCAGGAGCTAGTAAAGGGAGCTAGGAGCTAGTAAAGTGAGCTAAGAGCAG